GTGAATGTCTTCGTTCTTCGTTAATTCAAATTTAAAGTCAATTAAATCATTTAAACATTTATAAATAAATATACATCTATGGTTATGTCTTCTAGTTTTAAGTGTTGTCCATTTTAGTCGTCGTAGGGCTTCCGTTGTACATAGGTATTATACAGCGCATGAGTGACTCATGGTATGACATTCTCTTTACAAAAAGTTTAAAAATTATGCGTGAAAGGCTACTTTGAAAAAAAGTTCAAGGTGCTGTGGACATTGACGTAGCCAAGTGGGGGGGGGGGGGGGGGGGTACACGTTACATGCTCGAAGCTGAAACTGATTAAGTACGTCTCGACTGAGGAAAGACGATATACTGGAGGAACTTGATTTGTAAAATCTCGTTAAAGCATTTGTAGTCTTGTAGATATGGTTCCAAGAAAAATAGATGGAAAAATAGATTGAATTTTTAACTGAAAAAAATACATGTATGCATTATCATAGCTTGAATATTGCTTCTCAGAGTTATTCTGTATCGTATAAAAAAGCGACGCAATTTTGAGAATGCGGATTTAAATGAATGACTTAAATGCGACATTTCTGATCAAAATCACATTGGGATTCCTCCGGTTTTTCAAGGTGACTTTTCCAATTTATTTAATTCCGAGTAGAAATGTCTGGGAAAATTCATGTCTTCGATGTACTTTATAATCTTCGGAATTCTGCTAGATTTCACCACAAAAATGCTTAAAATCGCATTTCAAGGACTCCAGATTTCAAAATTTTCCCGGGGGTGCATGCCCCCGGACCCGCCTTGACGGTCTCACGCCTTCGTGAATGTGGTAGAATGGTGCCTTGCAAATGGGGTATCTCATTATAGGATTTGCAAACTCTAGTATGTCAAGTGCACTAGATCTTCTAGGTTTTAGTTTAAGGCCAGAATTAGGGTTGAGGCATATGTGCTTGATGAGCATTTGGAGTTTAAGCTGCCATATGCTCATTTGAAGGATTTGTGGTTATCAGATGTAAACAAAAGCTGTAGGAAACTTGCGGTTCAGCTACTGATTGCCGTGATCGATTGATGTTGACTCACTAATTTATGTGGAGCTTGGTCTCAGTTGAATTCGATTATAAGCGAATATATGTTGATGAACCGGTTATCGTGGAAACAAGATTATGCATAAGAAAGGTTAGGTTTTGGGTGTTGTCTGGGCTGATGAAGTGCAAGGAGGATTGCGTGTGCGAGGAAGTTTTACACTAACGTGAATTTCATTGTGGAGGTAATTCGCATTCCTATGAATCATTGCACGAATAAGCAATGCAGGGACTGTGGAAGAGTCAGGCAATTGCCTTAATAGTGTGTCTATGTTGTGCAGGGTAAGGTTGCTTCAAAAACGACTAATTAATAAACCAGACATGCTCAAGGAAGATGATCATGTGATTAAAGACCAGGTACGTAAAGGAATTGTTTAAGTTGTCCCAGAACTTCAGGTTGCTAGGGGAAAGGTTCATTACATGCCTTACCAAGGCGTTGTCAAAAGCAATGTATAATTAAACGACTAAAGTTCGTGTGGTTTATGATGCCTCCTCCAAGGCTGGGAAGAAAAGCGTATCATCAGGTTTAGATTGAATCATGTGGCATTAATACTGCAGACATTGCCACATTGGGAAGGCAAGATCAAGATAGTCCAAGATTCATTTGGTTTGAAGACACAGTAAGCTAGACTCACTCAACCAGCCGTTCCGCACGTTGTAACCAATAATTTATTGGCGTTGTAATGCCATTGTATGCAATAAAGTATTGGTTACAATGGATTTACAATTAATCCAAACGCTAATCCTAACTCAAACCCTAACCCTAATCCTAACCCCTAACCCTAACCCCACCTCCTAACCCTAACCCCACCTCCTAACCCCTAACCCCTAACCCCACCTCCTAACCCCGCAACCTAACCGCAAACCCTAAACCCGGCCTGCTACCCCTCCGGGGAGATGCCCTACCGCCTCCCCTCCGTCCACCAAGCAAAGCCAGCTACACTTATAACTAAAACTTTTGTGCAGTGGTTGTGGTTTTGTTTTCAGTTACAACCCAATACTTTATTGCATACAATGGCATTACAACGCCAATAAACTATTGGTTACAACGTGCGGAACGGGTGCAGCAACAGGTGGGAAATTTGTCGTCGCTGACCAAAAAATCGCGGGCAGAAACAAAGCTCATTGCATTTACATTCAAAACAAAGCAGAAAGTTAGCAAGAAGCTGTTTTAGCTGACGATTTTTTGCTTTCCATTCAACGATTTACAAATTAACGGTTATTCTTTTAAAAGTCGACTATGAATTCTTTGTTTTGGGATGATTTGTTTTGTAATCGAGTGATTGGAAGAAGTTAATATGGCGACGTGAACATGGGAATAAATACCGTATACGTCGATCTGTGGCTTGTTTAAAACCGTAATAAACGAAGAAAGACGTGATATGAGAATGAAATGTAAGTTGAAATTAACTTTATATGCCTCAAATTTTCCATCCTATGTTTCTTAATGTAACTTCAGCTGTCTAAGTTCAAAATACAAGCTCGCGAAATTTGACAAATTTTGAAAATATGTAAAAATAGCTTGACTTTGAACTGTATTTTCTCAAAAATAGCCCGTGGCCTCAATTTCAAATATAGCTAAATGAAAAGAAAAAACTTTTCGGCGTTTGTAGGTATCAAACATATCGTCAGGAAAATAGGGGCTCACAATGTTTTAGCTGAGTCTTTGAGACCCAGTTGCTTCGCACGTGTTGTTGTCAAATTTTTACCAGGAATCAAAGGCCGAAATGTGAACTTCCTTCATGAAAACCGCTTCGAGAAGGGTCTAGATTGAAAATTTAGCTATTAATTTCGATTTCGTGAGCATATTTTGGTTACACGTTAAATATTTTTGTACTTGATGAGATTCAAAATTTGTTGTATATTCAAGCCCGGCTTTAGTGTAATTTTGGTGATGACCGGAACAGAAATAAAGATATTTTAAAAACTGGCCGTGGCCTCACGATAAAACTTTCTAAAAATGTTCTCTGTTTCATGTATTTTTATTTGATATCTTAGGTATAAGCGTAAAAATAGGGGCTCATACAGTTTACGAGGTTGTAAAATGCATGACTTGCCTCTATTTTCGTGTAAACATTCGAAATTTTTCGACAGCAAAGTAGCAACTGTTTCAGATCGAATGCACACGGACAGCCCACCAGAGACAATGGCAGGGTACTGAAATAGAACGTCACTAAAAAATTCTGTATGATTAATTTAGATCATGTCCATTTTCAACATAAAACAGTCATTTATTCTGTACAAACATTTGGCAATATTTACACGATTGTGCCTTTTTGTAAACACGCGTTGCGTGTATTCCACGCAATTGTGTTTTTCAATTTGTTCGCGCATGCTCAGACAAATTTCCCACCTGTTGACTCACTCATGATTCTGTACAGGTTTTGTCGTGTGGTATTCGGTCATCACTTCTTCAAGTATAAAGCTATGGACGAATAATTTGGTAGGAAAATGCTCGAGTCGTTTTATGTAGATGCTTTTGTGTCGGGTGAAGGCACAACTTTACAGGGCATGCTCCCTGGGAAAATGTTGAATTTTTACATTCATTAGAACGCTATTTCGCGTATTGTAGGGCGAGGTTTGAAGAAGTGAAGCATTGTACTGTACACACAAATACAACAGGAAAATAGCAAGATGTCTTTGTTTTTGAAGTGCAAATTAATAATATATTGTATTAAAAAAATTAACTAAATTTTAACTTTGACTGCTGCTGTGCGCGTAAATTCAAGTTCAAATTCTGCTGGAGTTAGGATTCTAGATAGGGAAGACTACAACTTTTATTGGTAAACAGAAGAGATGGGAATCATTATTCACACGTTGTACACCACTACCCCCACACTTCCCCCAATTTCTGCCAATTATTCTTCCAAGGGCTCACTGGTTTACTGAGTTTGTGATAGGTAATTATCATGAACGGGTCCTTCAGAGTCGAGTTAAGAGTACATGCATGTACCTTAGAAGAGCGTCGCACTTCTGGGTCCCAAAGAAACGCCAAACAGTCAAGAATGTTATTGGAAAATGTCAACTTTCCAGGAAATTGGAAGACTATTTCACCAGTAGCGTAGTTACCTGAGTTTAAAATGCATCAGGCGGACCCATTCTCAAAAATAGGTGTAGATTTTTCTGGTCCGCTGTTTGTGAAGGAGGAGAATGTAGGGTTAAGTAAGGAATACATTGCACTGTTTACGTGTTGTGTTACA